AAAATTCCCCAAAATCCCCCCAAAATTCGGCCCCCCCCCCCTCACCTCGTCTCGTCCTGCCCCAACCCCGGGGGGGTCCCGCTGTCACTCACAGCGTTGGCCACGCCCCCTCTGGGGGTATCGACCAATCAGCGTTGGCCGAGCCCGCGTGGGGCGGGGCGAGGCGCGTTCCCATTGGCTGCCGCGCGCCACGTCCGCGCGCCGGAGCCAAAAAGGCGAAAATTTAACCCAAAATGAGCGCGGGGGGGGGGGGAATGGGGCGGGGCATTGGGGTGTACTGGGATGTACTGGGTTATACTGGGTTATACTGGGATGTACTGGGTTATACTGGGTTATACTGGGATGTACTGGGATATACTGGGACGTACTGGGTTATATTGGGATGTACTGGGTTATATTGGGACGTACTGGGTTATACTGGGGTGTACTGGGATGTACTGAGATATAATGGGTTATACTGGGACGTACTGGGATGTACTGGGATGTACTGGGATATAATGGGTTATACTGGGATATACTGGGATGTACTGGGTTATATTGGGATGTACTGGGTTATATTGGGACGTACTGGGTTATACTGGGATGTACTGGGTTATACTGGGATATACTGGGTTATACTGGGATGTACTGGGATGTACTGGGTTATACTGGGATGTACTGGGTTATAATGGGTTATACTGGATTATACTAGGTTATACTGGGTTATACTGGGACATACTGGGATGTACTGGGTTATATTGGGACGTACTGGGTTATACTGGGATGTACTGGGTTATACTGGGACATACTGGGATGTACTGGGTTATACTGGGATATACTGGGTTATAATGGGTTATACTGGGATATACTGGGATGTACTGGGAGATATTTAGTTATACTGGGATATACTGGGATATACTGGGATGTACTGGGGTGTACTGGGGTGTACTGGATTATACTCGGTTATACTGGGTTATAATGGGTTATACTGGGATGTACTGGCTTATACTGGGATGTACTGAGATATAATGGGTTATACTGGGATGTACTGGGATATATTTAGTTATACTGGGATATACTGGTTTATACTGGGATGTACTGGGGTGTACTGGGTTATACTCGGTTATACTGGGTTATAATGGATTATACTGGGATGTATTGGGTTATACTGGATTATACTGGGATGTACTGGGGTGTACTGGGATATACTGGGATATATTGGATTATACTGGGATGTACTGGGATGTATTGGGTTATACTGGATTATACTGGGATATACTGGTATGTACTGGGGTGTATTGGGATGTGGTGGGTTATACTGGGATGTACTGAGTTCTAGTGGGCTAAACTGGGTTATACTGGTTTGCACTGGGATATACTGGAAACGTGAGGGGGAGAAAAAGGGCGGGAAAACGTGAGGGGG